TCCAGATGGTCAGTCTCATCCAAGAGTGCCTGGAGTTGTCCTGCCACCACCTGCTCTAACACCATCCCCAAGAAAGGGATGTTGGCCACCGGTCTATAATTGCTGGCCATCTCTGGATCAAGGGATGCCTTCTTTAGGACTGGCCAGACTACCACCTCCTTTAAAGGGGCAGATACCCGGCCATCCCTCAGAGAGTCATTGACAACCTCCAGGATCCAGGTCCCTATCCCATGCTTGGCATTGTTAAGTAGTCAAGATGGGCAAGGGTTCAATAGGCAAGTGGTGGGACATACTTGTCCAAGCACCTTGTCCACATCATCAGGCCGCAATAACTGAAACTCATCCAACAATTTAGGACCAGACGGCAACATTGGCACCTCCCCTGAAGGCTCTGAGTCACTAGTGGAGTCCAGCTCGTGACGAATCTGAGTGATTTTCTCCTTAAAATGCTTGGTAAAGTCATCACAGTGGGCTGTCGAGGGCGGTACAGGGTCTTTCTTAGGGCCTGGATGAACCAGCCCTTGTACCACCTGAAAAAGCTCTGCCGGATGGCATTGTGAGGAGGCAATGGAAGCAGAGAAGAATTTCTTTTTCGCTGCCCTCACTGCCACAGCAGTCTCGATAATGAGCTCTCAAGTGTGTTTGGTCAGATTCATCCCATGATTTCCTCCACCTACACTCTAGACGTCTCCCAGCCTGCTTCACTGCCTGTAATTCAGGTGTATACCAAAAGGAAGAATGCCAGGTGGGAGAGGACGCTTGGGAGTGATTGTGTCAGTAGCCCTGGTCATTTACCCATTCCATAGTTCGATCAGAGCATCGACAGGAGCACCAGTCTTGTCAACTGGGAATTCCCCCAGGGCCTTCAGGAATCCATCCGGCTCCGGGGGCGGACCCACACAATCGGGTCTGCACCCTTACAGAGGGAAAGGCCACTCTTGAGCACAAACCTCATGAGGAAGTGATCTGACCATGACAGGGGTGTCAGACATAAATTCCTCACCCTCAGACCACCCTCTTCCTGCCCCGTCGAGAAATCCAGGTCCAGAGTGTGTCCACGTTCATGGGTCAAGCCAATGACATGTTGAGACAGCCCCATGGCCGCCATGGAGGCCATGAAGTCCTGAGCCACCCCGGTCAGAACAGTCTTGGCGTGGAGGTTGAAGTCCCCCAGGACCAACATCCTGGGAGTCCTCAGCACCAAGTCCGAGACAATCTCTGTCAGCTCAGGCAGGGAGTCTGCTGGGCAGGAGGGTGCACGGTACACCAACAGAATCTCCAATCTGTCTCAGTCGCCCAACACCAAGTAGAGGCACTCTAGCCCCGGCCTCGAGGGGACTGGAAGCCCCGTGAGGGAGATGAGGTTCAGTAAACCAAAGCAACCCCCCTCCCCTCCCTTCCAGGCATGGACGGTGCTGGACCAGATACCCTGGCGGGCACATTTGAGAGGAGGAGACATCCCCCCTCTGCTGCCCAGGTCTCTGTTATGCAAGCCAGGTCGGCCCCCTCATCCATGATCAGGTCATGGATGAGGGACAATTTATTGTGGACCAACCTGGCATTAAGCAACAGCACCGTCAAGCCCGGGGGGCGGTTGACAAGACTACCTGGAACCTTCCGGCTGGACGTAGAACCAGAAGAAGGGACAGGTGTCAGCCATCTGTCCCTCCTTCTTCTATGCAGACACGTTAAACCCCCACTGCCATAACGTCCATTGCCCACGACCACCCCAATGGCGGCCACACGCTCCCCAGGCAACCTCACAGTCGACATGGCCAGGAATGAGTCCGTAAAAACAAGTTAAAAGACAATAAAACATTAAAACAATTTAAAACTCCCCGTCTACCCCCCAATATGAAATATCGCACCACTGATAAAGTCCCTAGCCAGCCCAGCCCCCACACGGCCCCAAACTCTCCCAAACAGCGGCTACCGCCCTTTGGCCGCCAGCCCTGGCCGCGTCCAGCAAGTTAAGCCGGTGCCCATCCCCGCACCCCACCCCCAATCCGGCATTGCTCTCACTGATGCCAGTGGGGAGGGGAGGGGGCAAGGGCGGCTGCAGGGAAACTCACCGGCCAGCAAGATGGCATCCTCCTCAGCGGCGGTGACAGCCTCAGAGTCCTTTGGCGTCCTCCAGCCCTGGGTGGGTCTAGGATGCTGGATTTATGCAGCCACCACCATCTTCTTGTCACAATCCCTTTCTCTAACACTCTTCCTCTGCTGCCTATTAACTTGCTGGCTGCACATTGGAAATAAAACGCCATTGGCAGAACTGTCAGTGCTTTGAGGAAAGAAGGAGGGAGCCCAGTACCGCCCCATGGCTTGTGGCATGACCAGGTGCACAGAACACCGGAAACCATGCTTCAGCGACACCCCAGCAGCCAACACGCACTCTGTGCAGGTCCGCGGGTTCTCACGATCTCTGCAGCAGCCTTCCTGGCGCCGTTCGCCCACGTGCAAAAGGCCACTCGGCCTGCACTCCCCTGTCCGTTTCCTGTTCCTCAAAAAAAAAAAGGGGGGAAAGAGAAGAATCAGACGATGGTAAAAGGAGGCCTCCTCTGCAGCTGCTCCCCATATCCGGAAAGCTCTCCTCACGGAGATTCGCCTGGCACCTTCCTTAGACTTGTTTCAGGGCCCGGCAAAGACCTTCCTTTTGAAAAAAGATACTAATAATTCATGCCATTTGACCTTTGTGTTGTGTTTCTGCTTGCATTTCATGGTTATTCTATTTTTCATAAGTCGTTATTGATTTTATTGTGTTTTTATCTTGTAATGGTGAGATGCCCAGAAGTGCTGTGGCACAATTGGGCAGCATACAAATGTTTTAAATAAATAATAAATAATAAAATAAAATAAAATAAAATAAAATAAAATAAAATAAAATAAAATAGTTTGGGACAAAATCTGGGTGGGGTGGTTTTGTGGGTAATTTGCACTGTGATCCTGCATTTCTTGCTTGAAGGCGCACTTCCATGATTGCACCACTAGGGGGTGGCTCCCACCAACTCAATTAGAAGGGCAACTCTCTTTTGGATTTTTCAATTCCAATGGAACAAGTCTGGAGAAAACATTCCTGCAAGAAATACTTCTTCTAGCCAGTTGATTTTCTTAGGTGGAATACTGATTAAAGTCAGAATTTTGTCCTTTTGTCTGTTTGTTTATGTGTTTATTTTTATACTGCTCAATAGCCGCCTTTACTGATTTACCAGTTCCTTTGGTTCCATACTTCCCAATACCTTTTCGCAACCATTCAGAAAACATGCTCCAACACCATGAAAATCATTTAAAAACAATATTATAAGGTGAATACTTTCCATACCAATGCAAGGTCAGTGGGGGGCTTTTGTACCCCACGCCCCAAATAGTGGCCAAGCATGAAACAGCTGCCAGGAATTTCTTTTGCCCAAAAACATACCCAGGAGAACTTTGAAGCTAAGAACGGAAGCCCCAGTCGTGCTTTTGGCCCACTTTTTCCTCCTCCCTCCCAATCCCTCTTCTTCTTGTGTCGCGTCTTTTGGATTGCATGGTTCACGTCAAAGACTACTTTATTATGCATTTTATAAGCCACTCTAGGAGTCCATTTGGCAGAAAGACAGGGCCAAACTACTGAGGACAGATCCCCAGGAAAGCATGGATTCGTGTTAACCCTTGGTGTTTGGTCTTGTATCCAAGATGGCAGTTCTGAGTCCTGGAGGCTCAAGGACAGCCCCCCTCCCACACCAAATCTGGTTGACATAGCTGGTGGCTGGAACCACTATTGGGGTTTTGTTGTGAGGATAAAAAGGGAATAGGGGGTTTTCAAGGCACCTCAAATTCCCTGCCAGGAAAGAGGAACCAGTGCTGTATTTAAGAAGGTGCTTTTTCAGTCACCCCTGCCAGGAAGTAGGACGCTGCCATATTTTGGACAGTGCCATGTCAAAACCTTTTATGTCAAACTCTCTCCTTCTCTCAACCGTGTGTTTTTACATGGTACACATGCCATTTCACTGGGGCCTCATCCATCACCAGTGTGAATATATTTCTAGCTGAGAATGCTTTTTTTTAATTCCATCCTCATTCCTTAAAGATAAAAACCTCTGTATTCTCCCCATATTTTAATTGTTTACCTGTTTTATTTAGTGGTTTTATTTTAACATCAGATGCTGTGTGACTGTTACTCTTATTTCTATTTTATGGTATTAATGTCTTGTAAACCGTCCCGACATGTCTGTGATGGGATGGTACAGAAAAGTTTTAAATAAATTAATTAAATGAATAAATAAATAAATGGGGAAGCAGCAGCAGCTAGGCTAAGCCATCCAGTCACTCCTTCCTGGGCTGCCAAAGGTCATTTTGGTATCTGAAACAGAACACATAAATCCAAGTTGCCACCTCCCAGGTCAAGGACTTTACACCCAAAGTTTCTTTGGCACCCAAGGCAGGAAATCCCATAATTGTAAAAACTCTGCAATACTCATAATGCTTTAAAAAATCAGGTTCTGCTGCCTTCCATGCATGGGGCACAAAATCAGCTGCCAGGCAGGCTACCCATGGATTTTTTTTTCCTTTCATCCTCGTCCTCCACCAAGACGGTCTCCTTGCCTCTTGCGAAACGCAGAGCCGTCCTGCCCCCACGATTGGCTGGTATTTTCTTCGGAAAGGACCCACACCTGTCGCTGTATGTTACGCCTGTGCAGGGCGAAGAGGGAGAAGGGAAATCCTGGTGGTGAGCCGTGGACGAGACGCGGGATCTGAGCCCTGGGTATGAAACGCGTGTCTGGTGTGATCTGACGGGCCCCTTTGGACTTGTGCTTCCAACAAGTGTGTGTTTTTGGGTTCAGGGGGCCCCCACGGGGGCGAGATCGCATGGATCTCTCCATGCTCCGCTCTCGGGCTTAAGGGCTGGCAGGTCAGCGCCCAGCCAGAGTCCAATTTCCACCGTCTTGCATGGGCTGGCCCAGACAGGAAAGGAAACTATTTTTGGACGGCTCTTTGAAGTGCAGTCAGCCGCCGAGAAGCCCCACTTCAGCTCGGCGCGAGCGGCTGTGCGCTGATTTCTATGAGAAATTAAACGCGGGGCAGGCATGAAGGTGGCAAGGTATTTGTTCCCCTGTTTTGAACCTGACTAACTGCAGTTGTTTGAGAGGAGTTTGGTAGACCTTTTCTTGCAGGATGCCTTATTATGAGTGGTAGTTTTATATTTTATATTTTGTTCCTATAGTCTACTTATACCCTGCCTTTTTTCCTCTTGCAAGGAATCCGAGGCAGCTTTCAAGGTCCCCCTTCTTTACATTTTATCCTCTCAACCGCAACCCTGTGAAGTAGGCCAGGTTAAGCTTCTTTGACTGGCCCAAAGTCACCCAGGAAGCCTCCTTCCCAAGCAGTGACTAGAACCCAGAGCTCCCGAGTCCCAGTCCAGTGTTCTAACCACTAGGCTACACTGACCCTCTAACAAAAGCCCCGGTCTGTTAGTAGCTAGCAACTGCGCCCCATATGTCCACACAAGTGCTGCACTTCCTGTGGGGAGAGGCCGGCCTTGTGTCTGGCTCTGCTGAGGGGCACCAGAGCAGGAAGTCTGATCCCTCAGATCTGGGGCGGCTTCTATCAGTTTGCCCCAGCAAAGGAAGGCTCAAGGTGGCTGTGGGTGCATCCACCAGCCCCATGGAGGATGGTCCGCAGTTCCCACAGTCAAGCCCAGCAAGTGTCCAAGAGAGAGATTTAAAAGCTAGGCTGAAGAATGAAAGCTGGGGAACAGCAATTCTGGCCACAGGGGAAAACAGGCAGCCTTGGAGTCAACAGTGCAACTCTTTCAAACATTTTATTTGTTTTCCATTTATCACGACAAGGGGGAGCTGCAAGAGAGGGCGGAATCCCCCCTCTTCAAGATCCCACGTGGGGTATTCCATCCCCATCAGGCCCTGGGTCAGGGTCAGTGTGTCTGGGCACAGGCCAGGGCTCCCACCCCAGCAGGGTCCCCGACAAGAGTGCGCAGGTGGAATCCCCCCTTCCTTCAAGGAGCTCTTGCCCAAGGCAGTCTCTGCAGCCTAGAAGTTATCACACTGGTCCGCTCCCAAGTTTGTATGGGGTTGTCTCCATGAGCTTTTTTTTTTTTTGTGGGGGGGTGGGCTCCTGGGGTGGTGTCATTGTTCAGACTATAGAGGCAATGCCAGCCAGGCCCTGCATGCTGGAAGTGACACAGCCTTCAAATGATTATTTCCAAGAAAGCAAGGGAAGCCATCAGATGAATTTGATTGCACCTGTAACTGTATTTTTAATTTTAATTGCACGTCTACTTTTACTGCTGTGCTTTCCATAAACTGTTGCCGAGCACCCAGAGAGCTTCACCCTATTGGGAGGGAGACAATTAAAATTATCGTTATTGTTAATATTGGTGGTGCTGGTGGGCAGGGGAAAGAGAGATTGACTGGGGAAATTGTGACGGTCCCCGGGGAATCCCTTAGGACTCTCTATGGCCTCAGGTTCCTCACTTCTGCTGCAACAAGAAAAGCAAACCTGGATTCCTATATTTGCTCACTGAGTAAGCAGGGTCAGCTGCTCTCACTCAGCCTGGCCTATCTCACAGGGTTGTTGTGCAGTAATGCAGCGATCTGACCAAAGAAGCAGACAGCTGGTCTGATTGCCAAAAGGGAACATCCATGGAATCGGTGTCTTTTTCTCTCTCAAAATGGCCTTTATCTTAAATCAGGGATGGGGAACCTACTGCCAGGTTGGAACTCTCAGGATTCCAGCTTGCATGTAAATTCAAAGGTAATATCCTAGCCCTCATGCTGAAGTCATAAGATAAATACATGTAGCACCGTTGAATCCAAAACATTGGAAATGTGGGATCTTGCAGTAAGGAAGATGCCATTTTTGACACCTGGATCTCAATGGTCAAAGTACTTTCTAAAATGTTGCTGGCTTGGAGGGCCAGAGGTGCAGCTTGCCGGTGGAGAAACTGCTTTCCATTCTGCTTTCTCTCCCTGCTGTGCAGTTAAAAGAGACTGCGGCTCACGAGAGGGAGGAAAATCTCTCCTTGAGATTCCAAGGAACTCCTGTGGGTCGGCACTGGATGGGATGGTCCAGCCGTTCCATCAAGGACACGGCAGCTCATCCAGGGTGGGCCTGACTGGGCATTCGCCAAGGTTCCATGCCTCAGCAGGGGCCCTCTCACCAGACCCCCCTGGACTTGTTCTTGCTCACTGCAGCCTGCGCAGTCGCCTGCCTTTTCTGCAGCCCAGACAAGAGTAGCAGCCAGATGGAAGAGCAGGCCTAGCCAGTGGGAACCAGAAGGGGCAGCAAGGAGAAGGATGCCCTGCCCAGGGGGTCTCCAAACCCTGCATCAGGCCTGGCACATCAAAAAACAGCTTCGGGGACTGTACCTTCTTAACCCACAGAGCTGCCAGCCCTATAAAATGGCCAGCAGGAACAGAAGCACGCTTTTCTCCAGTCGCTGCCTCCTGACACCCTGCTGGTGCTGGTGCAGAAGCCTTTCCCAGGCCTGGTAGAGGAGAACCAGGAAGTGTATGAGGGTCCCATTGTACAGGTCAGATCCTCCTCCGTAGCTCAGCCACGGCTACTCCGGGGCTGGGCAGACTTCAGGGACCCAAAGTCACCTTTAGTTTCTTGCTAGCAGACAGGTGCAGCTTTGTAGAGGTGGGAAGCACCGTTGTTGGATCCAGAGAAGCCCTCAGGCAGAGTTACCCAACCAGAGACCCTGGTGGGGCAGTGTATCCACTCTGGGTTGGAGCTTTCGCAGAGCTATCCATGGTGCTGAAGTTCCCAACTCTCACGGTGTATCTAGCTAAGGGAGGGATCCTTCTGCTCTAGTCCCCTGAACAGGGAGGAGCTGCCTCACCTAGAGCGGGAAGAAATGCTATGATGCAGCTCCCGGGACTACAAAAACCTTTGGCTTCCAACATGATGGGCTACTAAACTCTGTACTGGTTAGAGAGCAAATTACAATGAATCAACAGCATTCAAACAGCAGAGTTAAGCTCAAAGGCTTGTGTTTTTATGCTCAACCATGCTGTCTCCCAATGCCTTCACCACAGCAAAGAGACAGCCATTTGCCCACTACACACTGTTAAGAAATTCAAATTTAGCTTTTTGTAGCTGAAAGAAATTCCCTTTCCTCCAGCTTTCTGGGGTTTCAGGACTGATACACACCATGAGCATTTTGGCCTTAAAATCTGACCCACAGGTACTGTGTGTGCATCTGCCTTGAACCATATCTGGACATGCAGTTCCCTCCAACAAACAGCAGGGTCTTTTTGGTGGTTGCTCCTCTTGAGAGAAACTCTGCTTCCTAGAACTTCTACAAGGTGATTCAAATATGGCTCTTCTAACAGACCCATCCTGGAGATATAAATACTTGGCATTGATCGATCATGGGGGTACTATTAAATAAACTGGACTGTGGGGACTTAGAAAGAAGAGCAGAGGGGCCCCAGGGAGTGGAGTTTAGCAATCTCAGATAACTCTGCAGCAGAGAGGGGTTCACATCTGGTGTTAGACTCTAACAGTTAGAGCCTGGAGATTTGAGAATAACTTCGAGACTAGAGCTTTCCCTGAAGATACATCCTTCCCCATCCATTGCTACCAGCAGTCATTCCAGCAAGCTGTACTGAGAGCAAGAAGTGGGGAAAGCCCTGTCATCCCACCAGCCCTCCAGAAAGACTTGTGTTCTGGTGTTCTTTTTTCCTCTTCCCTCTTCATGCTCTTTTCTTGTGTGCCATGTACTTTATCCAACACTCTGGGGGCATGAACTTCCTTGTTTTATGGATAAGTTCTTCAAGACTTTCTTGGGCTGAGGAGCAGCAAATTATTATTTTGAATGGCCCAGACACCATCTGATCTCCTATCTCAAGCAGGTTAAAGTTGAAGCAGAACCCCAAATTGGGTTTGCTTGCTGTGTTTGCAGGCCCTGCTTCTCCCAGTTTGGTACCATAAACGCAAGCAAGAGCGAAGCGCCACAGTGGCAGCTGTTAAAAAGACTCGGGAGGGACACCTGCTAGAAAACGAGCGAGTCGGGGAAACTAGGATAGCGCTTCCTAGCTTGGAAGGGGGCCAGCATACTAGGTTTCCAAGCCCTATTCTTAGAAAACTGCCGTGAGACGTTGACGGATGACTGCATAGGCCAGGCTGTGGTTTTAAGTATCCAAGTGTGAATGAAGACCTTGCATGCCATATCCAGGAGGAAGGAACTCAGCTGATGCAAAGGATCAGAGCTAATTATTTATTTAAAGTTATTGTATGCCATCCCCTTGCTATATAGCCTCAGGACGGCTCACAGAAATAAATAAATATAATACAATACAATACAATGCAATGCAATGCAATGCAATGCAATTAAAACCCGGAAACACGCTGGCTGCACAATTAAAACCTATAAATATTCTCCTTTTGTCTCCCCTGCCCGCCTCGGAGCTCACCCTGGAAGGCCCACAATCTTAAAAGGCAATTCTAGAGTTCAAATGCCCGAATCAGTAAAAATTGGGAGTGGAATGAAACTGCAATGTGCCAGATTTACATGCACTGTCTTTTATGTGTTTTTGACCCTAACTTCTATTGAACAAGTTGCCATGTGGAGGCTGGGGAAGCAGCCAGCCTGAGAAATGCACCTCCATAGCCAAGCATTGTCTACTGGGTGGTGAGCAGCAATGGCTGAAGGCTGCGGTGGTGGTGTATCTACCCCGGGTGACAGTCTGAACTTTAAAGGAGCTGTCTTCCCCAGATTGTGGTTTCAGCCCAAGTCACCTTCCCAGGCCTCAGCAGACAGCAGTACCCAGTTCCCTGGGAATGTTTCTTTCCAAACAAAACCATGCCACCCTCTTAGCTTTCCTCTCTGTCCATTTTTCACACCTATACACAGTGAACAAGAACTATTAGTAAGATGCTATTTTCTGTTAAACAATCTTACAATCGCTGGTGCTGCTCACCTGTATAATAAGAGTTCCTCATTACAAAATGCTGTATTTTGGTTGTTAAGATTTCCTAAATATGTTTTATTTATTTATTTAAAACTTTTCTATACTGTCCCTTCACAGCCATCTCAGGACGGTTTACAACAGATTGATTGATAAAATAGAATAAAATAGAAATAAGAATAGCAGTTGCACAGTATCCAATGTAAGTATAAAACCACCAATTAAAACAGGTTAACAATTAAAATATTGGGAGAATAAAAAGAGTTTTGCCTGATGCCAAAAGGAAAGAAGCATTGGTGCCAGTTGAACCTCTCTGGGGAGCACGTTCCACAGTTGAGGTGCCATCATAAGGATGAAAAATTATTTATTGTAAGCCATCCCAAGACATTTGTAGGGGACAAAGATGGAAAAGCTTTTAATTAATTAATTAATCCCCTCTTTTTAAAGCAAAATGAGTAGCTGAGCCATACTCAAATGGATTTCTGGTGGATCAGCTAATGGAATTGCGTTAAGGGAGCATTCCTTTGGGTTCTGGAATCCAAGACCAGGGCTGAGATTGGGACCTCTCAACCTTGCATGCCTTCATGGGTGGTATGGAAAGTATCTCGCTTTCTAAAGCCCAATTGCCCCCTCGGAGGGTGCTTAGAAGAGGGGTTTCAGGGGGGAAGGGAGAATGGTTTGGGGGAATTGAAAGTCAGCTCTGCATTGTAAGCCTTGAGTTTGGAAATCAGGGGCGTAAAAATAGGATTGCATCTTAGGTGTAGATGGTGCAGTTGAAGTTAAAGGCTGTAGACTAGAAAAGGCTCAGCAAAATCCACGTCATAATATCCTTTTATCTATGGCAAGTTCTTCTAATTCATGCACACACACGCCCCAAACTATCTTCTCAAATCTGCAGAGTCCCTCAAACATCGCTTGACGTTCTCTTCCCCCTGAAGAGTTGGAGTGTGTGTGAAGGTTCCGTGTCACCACTTTGCCTCTGTTCAGGACTGAACTCAGCATCATTTCTAGATACGACATATATTGAGATGAGCAAGCGTGGAGGCATAGCTGGGTATAGCACAATTCTGGGGCTTTTAAAGAACCTTCCTGTGTCTTATACAATTGTGTTTAGCAAGGACCGTGAGGAGCTGATATGGCAACTGGACCTTGTGAAGTACTGGAACAAAACGAAGAATGCACACACCCTGTGAAAGAGCTGCCAGCCCAGAGGGAAAACATTCAAAAACAACTGAAGGAGGACATAGAAGGTATTTTTAATTAATTAATTAAGTCGGGGGTCAGACTAGATGGCCCGGTAGGACCCTACTGACTCACTCTGTTTCTATGTTTCTAATTGGAGAGGTTTTCTCCTACTTTGCAGAAAAAAAGGTCTCCCGACTGGCTTGTTATAATTAAGCAATACAAAGTGATCACAGGTATACATTTCAAAAAGACCCAACACACAAGGAAAAGGGGTTGGAGAGGGGAGAAGAAAAAAACTTGGGAAGAGGTGGGATGGCTTTGCTTCCCCCTTGGCTTCCAGAAGATGGGCCAGATTCTAATCTTCCTTCCAGCTGCTCTCCCTGGTTCACTGGTAGTTAATTCCAGGTTATTTGAGAGCCCGTATGAGTACTGGCCTGGGGACCTAGGGGACAAAACCAGACCCCCCCCCCCCCCCAAAGAGGAGCAGCAAAAGTAATGCTCCAGTTCTCCTTGAGGTCACTCCAGCTGGCATTTCAGACACAAAATGGTACATGCCCAGAATCAGGGCTGGGGGATGGGCGTTGTTTTCATGCTAACATCTTAGGAATGTTTAAACATTCCTAAGTATGGAGAGGCCATTTGGGGGTGGGAAGAGAAAGAAAGGAGTGCAGTGTGTTTAACAACTGCTGTCTAAAGAGGCTCTCAAATGCAGGGTCAAAAGTGTCCTAGCTTCAGGACCTTCTTTAGAAATCATCATTAATATTATTAATAGCATTTCTGCAAACTCTGAAGGGTACTGCTTGCAGCATCTTCTTTAGAAATGTATCATCAACAACAGCAACAACAACATTTCTGCACACCTTGGATGGAACATAAAAAACAGCACTTACTTGTGCTTATATCAGAAATGTAATTGCACATTTCATACTGTTTAAAATGACTGTGTTCATATTTTATTCTAAGCCATTCTGAGAAGTTCTTTGCACGTTAAAGGGCAGGGTGTAAGACTTTAACTCTACAGTCTAGCCATGTCTACTCAGGAATACGCCCAATGGCAGTCAGTGAGACTTGCTCCCAGATAAGTGGATATAGGGTTGTGGGGTAAAGAAATTAGTCCATTTTTTGCCTCAGGGCAACCAATGGATGGGGAACTGCTTGGAGCAACAGCAAAACACACCCCCTTCCCCCACCTTGACAACCACGCTGCAGTTTTGGGGTTCTGCTATGTCATCTTTAGTCTTCCTTGAAACCCCAAACCGCTTCTCGATCATGCTTGAAGGACTGCAGGTGATTGCTGGGAATCTGGCCTTTTGCCATGACTCTCCCTTTTTGTGGGCCTAATACTTGCCTAAAATGGGGGCGGGGGGGTTGGTGAGGATGGGGGCTTCTAAGGCTAGCATCTCAGACCTCCACTTTCTTCTCCCACGGGTTGGGCTCTGCCACTCCCCCACTTCTGCACATACGGACCAGACTTCTCTACTTCTCCACCTCCGCAGTGGCCCATCCATCGCCCTAAAAGTATCACACGGATGCTGAGCCCCCTGCAGAGCAGGCAGAGGGATCCTTTACAGATCTGTGCATGAAGCTGTGAGCTAAATCATGCTAGGTGTTTTTAAACAGATGTCAGGTGATTAAAGTGCCTGCACATTTGTTTTAACAGATGCCCAAATACCTACAAGCAAAGAGGAGATAAACAGTACCCCAAACGTAAGTAGAACTGCATTTGGAAATGTTAGCCATGGATTTATGTCGTGTCTTTTTCCCCCAGTGAAGGATATGATGCTCCTCTTTTCATTTTATCAAGCAGCAGTCAGTGAAGTAGCGCTTTTACAGCATCTCCCGAGTTCCAATCCAGAGCACTAACCACTACACCACACAGTCTCAGTCACCCCACAGAGTCAAGGCACTTTCAAATGATCCGAGGAACAAGGCTTCTCTGAACTGAGGGTTTGAGGCTCCTCTCCCTCCCAGGAGCAGCTGGACCTGAGTGCCCAGAAAGGGAAAGGGTGACATGTACACTTTGGAGAAAGGCCCAGCACTGCGGGAGCAATGGATCTGGACAGGTGAAAGCTTCGTCGGCTCAGCAAATTACAGAGGAAGCTCAGCCAAGAAGCTGGAGCAAACTTGCTCATCCAGCTCGGTTTATCCCAGTGAGGAAAGAGGCCCCTGCGCCTGGAACATTTACTCCTTTTCTCCCTGGATGCAGGTTAAAACTTGAAGCTTAAAAGGAAGAGTTAAACCGTGGCCTTCATTTCCCTCAGATGGAATGGCAGTCTCTGACTGTCCTAATCACATGGAAATCTCCGACAGTATCCAAACTTCGCACCCCAGTTGCTGGGGAACAGGGATGGGAGCCTGATAGCTCTTCCTAAAGCTCGTGGCTAACACCTGAAACTGGGCAACCCCACACTGCGCAGCAATTGAAGCCTGGTTATTAACAGTGTTAAGGTTAAGGCTGGGAAGACACCAAGTTCAAATCTCTACTCGGGTTCTCTGGGAATCCCTTGCCCAGACGCTGCCTGTCAGACTAGCCTAGGTGATAAGAGAGGCTGTGATGAGAAAAGCATGGGGTGTGGAGGTCAAACTAGAATAGCAGGGATGAAGGGGTTCCTTGGAGGTCATCTAGTCCAACCCCCTGCCCATTGTACACAATTCAGAGCCACAGCAACTGGCTCTTGAGTCCACTTCTCTGGGTAAGTGGTTCATTACCAGAACTGTTCTCAGAGGACTGCCCTCGGCTTGCTGCTCTTTGACCTTACATCAATTTCTGCAGACAGTCCCTTCGAGCAGTTGGTAAATAGGCATGACAGACAGAAAGCAGCAGCAAGATCGGGGCTGGTGGATTGTCCCAAGTCCCTTCTCTCTGCAAAGTCCTGTGACTGTTGTGGGATCTTGTGCACCTTGGAGTCGCGGCACCTGAGCCTGGGAATTGGCTGGTCTCACGTCGCTCCTGCCCTTCCATTGGAGCTGAAAGAGTTGCTTGGCAGCACTGCCTGAGCATTGTTGCTTGGTGAGCTCATGGAAGGCTCAGAACAAGAAGTCCTTGGGAACTGAGGACCAGATGCAAACATCCACGGCCAGTGGGCCTGGCCACGTGCAAGCTTTCCTTTCTGCCATTGGGTGTCACAGCAAAACTGGGACCTGCCAGAAGCATTTCCTAAGAAGAGTGTGCACTGGACAAACATGCAGCTCACAACCTTCTAGCAAATATTAAAGGGCATGTGCTAGGTGCTGACAGGAAGAAAATGGATATAGTGCTCAGTTTTGGGCCCCTCATTTCAGGAAGGATATAGCCAGGTTGAAGTAAGAGCAGGGTAGGGCCACAAGGTTGGTGGCCGGTTTGCAGGGGAAGCCGTATGAGGCGAGACGGAGGGAACTGGGTCTCTTCAGCCTGGAGGAGAGGAGACTCCGAGGGGATCTGTCGGCGACATGCAGGTGTGTGAGGGGGTGTCACACGGAGGTGGGTAGAGACCTGTTCTCCCCTGCGGAGGAAGGCAGGACGCGCTCCAATGGAGCAAAGCTCAGGGAACCAGGTTCAATCTGGTTGCCAGGAAGCACTTCCTGACAGTCAGGACCCCGAGGGTGTGGAATGGGCTTCCCTGGGAGGTGGTTGAGGCCCCATTGGTGAGGGTGTCCAAGGATAGGCTGGACATGCACATGGTGGGCATGTCATGAGCAGAGCTGGCTGGTGCCGGAGGTCAGACTAGATGGCCTGGGAGCCCCCTTCTGACTCGCTCTGTTTCTATGTTTCCATGTTTCTATCTTGTTTTGCAAATACCAGCAGAAAAACAAATAAGCAGTCCTCAGTCCAGCAGAGCCAGACAAAACTTCCCCAGGAAGGAAAAGCAAGGAAAGGAGACTGTCATACCTCAGGCATGTCAGGAGGAAGCCAGATTCATGCTGTTGGTGTTTTTCTTGTCCTTGCATAATGGTCTGACTGTTTTACTTTCTGCGTGCTGCCTTGATGGAATGCAGTGAGTGAGAGAACACATGCAGAGTCCAGAGTGGGCTGGAGGGTTCTGGGTGGCTGTAGCAGGATGGCAAGACCAGGACAGCCTTCCAGGGCTGGGGCACACCTAGCGATGCTGCTGCAGGTGTTCTGGACATGCAGCAACACCAAAGGGCTGCCCTGGTCCCTCTCCTGCTTACAGGGGCCACAGCGGGACCATGGATGATCAGCTCTCCCGATGGCCCTGCAGGAAAAGCAGACGGGGAATCTTGGCAAAGAAACCGGATGCCATCAAAAACCTAGGTTCCTCCTTCACACATTCAAAGGCCGTACACCGTTTCCCCAAAGCTTTCTTTATTGACTAAAAAGCACAAAACATCCAGAAGGAGTCTCTCAGCTCACACAAAGCAGTTTGCTGAACCCAATCAAGTATTCACCATCCTTTTGAGAACGCCTGGGCCCCATTCCTTGGGGGGTGTGGCTTCCAAACTGAGCAAGCCTCTTCTCTGCACATCACCGGGCAGAAGTCATGCTTGCCTTGTCTAAGTCTGAGCAGCTCCCCTGCTCCCACCGCCTGCGGCTGTGCCCAGAGACCGCCTGCTTTCCGGGGAGTCTGGCCTGGAGCTCAGCCCTCCGCGTCGCTCTTCTCAGCATCGGGAACCGGTGCTCATTCCAGGTCCTGCCAGCTCTGCTTCTCATCCTGGCTCCTCTGCAGCCCAGCATTTTGCCACCCTCACCCGCTGCTGCCTGAGGCAGGGTATTCAGCCTATCCCATGAGAGGGCCGGCCCTTGTTCCTCTGTGTGGAGCCGGCCGGTTGCTGAACGAGCCACCAAATGTGCTGTCATGCTGTGTAATTCCACCTTTCCATCCTCCACACCCGCTGGACACTCATTCTCACTGGGTGGACTTGGGGGCTGCCCCCCCCTTTCTTTTAAAGATGCATCATCCCCTCTGCAATCTTTTGGTTTCCCCCAGTTTTGCAGAGGTGTCTCTCTTGGGTGTGCATGGGTAGTACCATTATTTTCCTACGCAAGTGACTGCATTCCTGTCTCAACACTAGGGGAAAAAAAAGATTTTTATGGAGGACATGTCTCTGCCACACTAGCTTTGCAACTCCGTGAAATCATAAATGTGGCAAATATCTAAACTGCTCAGAAATTAAAAGCAAGAATTGAAATCAGAGCTGCATTGAAAAGCCAAGCTTACAAAAGCCAAGCAGTCATGAGCTACAGCCTCAAAAAAAGCGAAAAGAAAAAAGAAAAGTTAGAACAATTTAGTGTTGTTTGAAAGAACATCACAAAAAATCAAATAATAATCATCTGAGCTCAAACTGTTAAGAAATGAATTAGGTTTGATAAAGGGGATAGATGAAACAAAGACATTTAAAACAAGACACTCTGGATATGCAAATAAATTCAGAAGGCATTTAAAGAAGAAGTCAAAAGGGGAATGAAAATAAAGAAGAAAGAAGAAAACATTCAGCTTTAGAGGATGGTGTAGAATAATGCATGGAAGAAATATATAATCCATCACGCCATGAGTTATTGTAAATTGTTAAAATATGAAACCAGTGAGTTTTACTTTAAATGCAGGTGCTTTGCATTTAAGCTGAGTTAGAATGAACAGAAAATAAGTCAATAACAAGAATTAGAGAACAGAAAAAATATTCAGTGAGTCTTAATTTAGTTTAGCTAATCTGGAAGAGATAATAAAAACTGATTTAAAGTGAAGCATTCTGATATCATATGAAATATTCATTTAAGATCCCTTGGTATTTTCTTTCTTTCTCTTTATGAAATATAAAACTTTTCTAAAAAGCGAAGCTGCATAGTTGTTAATGGATGAAACAGTCCTCAGAGCAGTTTAAATCATATGCTAAAATGCCCAGGAGAATAAAAAGATCTTTGCTAAGATATGGCTTTACTCGAATAAATGATTGGCTGAAGTTACGTTTCAAGCACAGAGGCAGCTTTTCATGTCTTTGCTATGTATGTCAGAGCACAGTGTGGCTCATGGGCAAACAGGCTCTGACACGCATGTGCCCTATTTTCAGGGCATCGAAAAGGAAGAGAACAAACTCCACGTTGTCGACAAGGACCTTGATGAGTTTGCGGACAGCATGTCGGAAGCTGCCCCGTCCCTGCTTCCTGAGCACATCCCAGAGGCAAAACAGCAGCCTGCTCCAGAACGGGCACCTGCCCATTTGCCCCGGGCTGAGCAAGTGGCAGAAAAGGTGCTGAGGGCAGAAAAGGGAGCCGAGAGGCCTCCGCGAGCAGAAAAGCTACCAGAGAAAGCTCCAGAGCCCAAAGTGCCACGAGCTGAGAAGACCCCACGGGTGGAGAAGCCAGTGGAGAAGGCACGGCCGAAGGGTGTGTCAGGTAGGGACTCCTCCATCCCAGCTCCCTCCCGGCTGGGTCAGACCCTGGGTCCATTCACCCAGGAGCCAACCTCCCATCCAAGGGGAGACCCCCGAGCAAGACTGGAGCCCTCTTACCCGTGCTCCCCAGCATTTCCCCTCTGAAACCAGAGGTAGCAACGATTCATCAGGACTAGTAGCTTTGAGGCTCTTCTCCTCCATGGATTTCTCCAGCTCCCTGTACTCCATGTCCCGCCTGTGACCAGGGCCGTCTTAACCGCATTATGGGCCCCGGGCAAAGCAGTGTACTGGGGCCTCTACGACAACTGCTCACAGGAATAAAAATGTAAATATGAAGGGTTAACATACATATGGGGCCCACGGGCAAGTGCCCATCAGGCCCATGCGTGAAGATGGCCCTGCCCGTGACCTTCCCAGGGGCTGGTTGGCCACTGTGGGAAGCTGAACAAAGCCCAAGGGGATCTTTTGTCTTCTCCAAACTGGCTCTCCCCCTCAGGTGCTGAACTTCAGGTCTGGGGGCCACATCAAAATGGGCCAGCTGGAACCCGCTCCAGGGTCATGTCACCAGGAGGGTCCACTCCACCCCACACCCCCAATCTCCTGGCTATTGTAAATTCCCCTCCCAGAGCCATTTCAAAGGGATCATGTGACTAATTTAAAGCTTTACATGTAAGGCTCAGAAGCGAGGCTAATTCAGGAATGCTGGGAGTTGTCACACATCTTCCGTCCAAATACACATAGGATCGCACCCTTATGCTAAGCTATACTGGTACATGTGGTTGTTCAGTATTTGGGCCTCGCCCCCTTTGCTCCTGGCTCCGCCCTTTTGCTCCTGGCTCCGCCCACCACAGCAAGAGCTCCTCGGAAGCTAAATGTGGCCTGCGGACCGAGAGGGGTTCACACCCCTGTTCCAAAGCAGCAGCAGGCAGCAGGGGCCCAAGAGGCATCAGGGAGCAGAGCTGGGGGTGTGGCAGCCAGTTTGATGGGTTAATTCCTCCTTTCCCTCCCGGAAGCCCCAAAGGCCGTTCCGGCCAGAAGGAAAGCAGAGGCCCGCGCTGCGGCCCAAGCAAAGGACACACTCCCCTGGGAGGGCCTGACCCTGAACAAGTGTCTCCTCGTTGCCTCCTTTGTCGCCCTCCTCAGCGTGAGCTGCCAAGTGGCTCAAGGTAAGTGAGGGGAGCCATTTTGCATCATGACCAAGCCCTTGGGGAAGCACCTCACCTTACCTTATCCCACCTACCCTTTATAGGTCGAGACCCCAAACGTGGACGTGGTTCACTGAGACATTTTCTCTTCCCTTCTCCCTTGTCTTCCTGCCCGAGGTTCAGAGGATCTTTCCTGGGCGTTGATCTCCACGAACAGGGTGATGGGGCAGATGACATCCCATAAATTTGGGGCTCCAGCCCTGGTAGGCCACCCCCGACCCCTTGACAATGCCCCAGGCTCAAGTGACAAGATTCAAGGCCCCCCTCACGATCCATTTGGGCCCAGAGCACCTGCTTGCAGCCATGTCAAAATCTGCCTTCAACGCCAGAGCTCAGCCAACCCGCTATTGCTTTTTGCAGACATCATAGAATATGGAGAGGAGCTTTTCCAGGCAGAGCTGGACGCTTGGACTCAGCAAGAAGCCAGCGTTGGAGAACTGGTGAGTCGAGAAGACAGAAAAAAGCAGCGGGAGGAGAAAGAAGCAAAAGGCCCCTCGGCAAAAGGGCTTGTGTTGCTGGCAGAAAGCCTGTGAGGCTGTCTAAGCGACGGACATTACATCAGAAAATTCTCTTTTTTAAAAAATAACCTCAGAGGGAAAAGTTCAAAAGAAGTTTAGTTATGAGAAAGATTAGCATGTTCCTTTTCACGGGCATTTGACAAAAATCAGGAGGATTTCCCCTTCTGCAACTCCTTTTTCTGCCCTTCTTTTGGTTCCTTGGTGGCCCTTTTTGGCTGCAACTTACCAGCCCTCACTAGTTGGGTTTGCAGTCACTGAGCTGGCCACGGGGAACTACCATGCTTAAGAAAGAGCGTGCCACCAAAGACCTCTTGCTGGGAACATGCAGGAGATGAGTTTTTCTCTTCATGTCCTCCCCCGGTCTTTCTAGCAAGGCCTTTAGTTGGCCACAGTGCGGAAGAGGGTGCTGGATAGATGGAACGGCTGGTTGTATGCAGTGGCGGGGTTCTTCAGACCCAAGGAGGATCTCTGCCCCAGCAGAGAATTTTCTATGGTGGGACCACTTGGTGCTCTTTTCGCAGAGGCTGTTGTGTGTTCCATTCCCTTGTAGGACGAACGGTGGTTTTATGAGCGGTGGTTTGACTGGTCGGACACAGAGGAGCCACCTGACATAGAGGAAGAACTACTAGAAACAGAGGAGGAGGAGGAGGAAGAGGAGGAGGAGGAAGACCCAGGACTAACAGAAGTGGAAGAGGAACAAGGACCATCAGAAGAAGAGGAGGAGTCAGAAGACACACCAGCAGCCAAGGTAGGACCCAAGAAGAGCCGGGAGAAAGCAGGCAGGAGAGAGCGACCCTCCAGAGAGAAAGCCACGAAAAGTCGCAAGGCCCCTGGCCACAAGGATGATGAGGAAGAAGAGGAGGAGGAGCAAGAAGAGGAGGAGGAGCAAGAAGAGGAGGAGGAGGAAGAGGAGGAGGAAGAGGAAGAGGAGGAGGAAGAGGAGCAGCCCCTCAGCAGGAGACATCGCCGGAAGGGGAAGGAAGACCAGAAGCAACAGGGGGACAAGAGGAGCCGCCGCCACAAACACGACGAAGCTGGCCGGCCCCCCAAGGAGCACAGGCGGGAACGACCCCCCAAGGACGACCATGACAGAGGAAAGGGGCATCCCCTGGCCAAGCACGAGCAGAAGGACCGGAAGCTGGACCAGCGCCCCTTCTTCCTCCCACACAAAGATGGCACCCACAGGTTTGCAAAGCACAAGCTCCAAGAGGGGAAAAGACATGACTGAGATCGTAGTGGGGGCCCCTTGCCCCCGCGCTGGAGAGCAGAGCTCAGAGAGCCTTCCTGCTCCTTTGCTCACCACCTCTTTGGAAAGCGTGGGGATGGCTGTCAAGCCACAAGACACCCACACATCCAAAGACACCCGGGGGCACGGCGAAGAATTCACCCTGCCGAGATACCTGCCTCACCCCTGCCCCATGGAGCCCTCACTGACTGACCTCAACAAGCCTCCCTTTCTTCCCTTTCTCGTTTATTTTTCTTCACGTAGCTGTTCAGTGCCTCAGTTTCCCCAGCTGCAGAAATGGGGAAGGGCTTCTCCTTCCTCATGCCGAGAAGCAATTGCTGTGTTTGCAGTCAGCTCGCCTTCGCCAGAGAGGCCAACGCCTGTGTGCTAAACTGCACTACACCCTAGGAATTAAGAAGCAGCCCAAAACCACTTGGCAATGGCTGAAGTTTTCCACTGGACTTCACTCTGCAGGCTTCACTGCTTGGCAGCTCCCTGGGCGAAAACTTGCAACTGAACCATGGGGATAGATTAAGGTTTTCTGAAATGGTGCCAGGAGACAGCAAAACTCTACTTAAGCTGTTACTCGAAGTGTGATGCTTTATTCGCACTTACATGTACATCAACTCTTAAACATTTAAAGCAACGGGAGGCGTTTGGTGAACATGGCTCCACTCATTCTTGTCAGCATCATTTATTTTGTTTCATGTTTAAAGCATGACTCTTTGACCACATCTCTTTTCCTGGACTATTTCCCCCCCCCCCCCATGCACAAATTAAGCAAGTGTTTTCTTTAGCTCAGAGGTATTTATGCTGTAACCAAAGAAACAAGTGAGCTAGCCAAGTCAGCTTCAACTTCAGAACCACAAACGTCACCCTGGCAAAAATCCAGGCTGCAAAAAATCTAACGTTTCAGCAGTCCACCTTGGTTCTACACCAAAAAGTAAGAATGTCCATCAAAGAGAAAACATGGGTTCTGTGGCTCAGGCTCCACATCTCGCTATCCCCCAATCAGAGGATGATTTACAGCTCTTAAAGCAAAAAAAAAAATGCACTCCATACATCAGAATGTTTTGACCTGTGCAGATTTGTCCTTTCCCAATGCAAAGAAAGCTGGGAAAGTGAATTATTACTAGTTTGAGTAATAATACTACCTCTTGAGCCAAGAGGGCATTTTAAGCTACAAGATAAAACATGATGTATGAATGTGTTGGAAGCAATCCAAGGGCCCTTTAGGAATTCCAGCTTCCACTGCACAATTCCAGTGCATTTCCTGTGGATGCTTTGTGCAAATTTCCAGATGGAGGAAATTCTCCCCAGAAAATATCAAACTGCCCCTTTGATTCTGTTTTGCTGAATGCCATGAAGACACCCCCACTTTGCAAATTCTACAGGAAATACGCGTCTTAGTTCTTTTTGTCACAGGGAGAGAGCTGCATGGAAAACCTTGAGCAAATCTATCTCCAAAATGACCTGAAAAAATGTACAAGATTTTCACTGGAACAACATAAGACCCTGTTTTCAACGCTGCTTTTCATAGACGAGTAGTATAAAATACAGTATCCATTTAGAAAGAGGCTGGATAGCAACCTCTCTCCAAGAATCTGCCCAAAAAGGACTTTTTTCCACCCCTCCTCTGGCTTAACTGTGTTTATAAAATGTATATTAAATAAAAATGTCAAAATGGGCAGAAAGTCTTCCTTCTTTTCCATATGCACATTGTACAAACTAGGAGAAAAGAAATTCAGAAAAGCGAGGAGTGCAGGAGCTGCTGTGAACTTCAGTCAAATATGGTGGAGCTCACCTATAATGTTCCACTAATGAAGGTGAGAAATCCCTTTGTGCATGCTCAGGGGTATCTTTTTTAATACCTCTGGGGAGGGGTGGGGGAAAACAGAGCTAGAGGGAAGAGCAGATGGAGGATCAGATCAATCCAATCCAGGGTGTAGAACTTCCATGTCTAAATTCCATTCTCTGAGTTCCATTTCAGAGAAGCTGCGGGAATGCATTGGTAGGCAGGGCTGAAAGTCTTAAAGGGTGGGGCCAAAAGACCGCAAAGGCCAGCCTTTCTTCGTTTCAAGTTCATGCTGCCAGAAACTAAGTGTACCCACTGATCGACAGCTGAAGAGGAGGAGGTCTATCCAGGGCAAAGTGGTGTCAAATGGATGGGGGCAGCACTACAGGGGCAGGATTTGACCCAAGCCCTGAAGCTTAACACCCTCAATCTATTCCAGTATCCGGTTTCCTTTTGGTGCCCAACCTGACGCTTGGAGCTGCAGTGTGTCCCCTTTGAGGAGCTGCTACAAAAATTGGAACTGTTCCGCTTAGAAAGAGGAAGGGGAGATGGGATGGAGGTGCGTAAAATGATCCACGGTGTGGAGAAAGTGGGGAGGGAGAGATTCCCGCCACCATAATCCTTGAACCCGGGCCATCCCATGAAGCTGACGGGTGGGAGGATTCCGACAGATAAACGGAGGGACTTCTTCACACGGTGCATAGCCAAACTGTGGCGTTCGCTGCCACGGGAGGTGGTGATGGCCGCCAGTCTGGGTGGCGTTGCAGGGGATGGGATCGGTTCGGAGGGAGAAGGCTACTAGCCCTGCCGGCCGCAGGCCCCCTGCTTCCCAGAGGTGGAACGCCTGCGTGCACCCGTTGCGGAGGAGCTGGGCAGGGGAGGCCCGGCACCCCTCCTCTCGGGGGACCCCGCGGGCGCCTGGGCTGCCTCCGCGTGCACGGGGTGCTGGGCCGGGTGGGCCTGGGCCTGATCCAGGAGGCTGCTCTGTTTCTGTGCCTCCCGCAAGCCCACAAGCAAGGCGCCAAGGCAAAGACCATGCCCTGGTCGGGGGGTTTGGGGATGAGCCCCTTGTGGACACACCTCCACCCACAGCAAACCCCTTCGGGTCATTCGCAAGACAAGCATCCCCGCAGCATTCCCCCTCTGCATGAGCCCAGCTCCTGCCCCAGTGACGCTCCTGCCAAGCCCAGAACCCGACTTGAGGCCGAAGCAAGGAAAGCCACGCAGCTGCACCAAGGGGGCAATTAATGCTCGGAGCATCGAGATTTTGAAGAAACAGAGCAGAGCAGAGGGAAGCAAAGAATTTGACGCCCCAAATGCAAACTTCCTGAAACATGAGTCATCATTCGAAGAAGACAAATTGAGTCTCTAATAGTTATTTATTTTTGTAGCTATTTTTGAGCCCTTTTGGGGCTGCCTTCTCAAGATGGATACCTTTTTAAGATAATCTTTAACAACTTGTTATAAAAAAGGATAAACATTGCTACATATCTGTGTGTTCATATGTGCATGCATTCATTCATGTGTGTGTGTGTGTGTGTGTGTGTGTGTGTGTGTCGTAGAGAAAAGCATTATCAATATACATAGCCGTAGCAAAAACAGAATAGCTAGGATCAGCAGTTAAAATAGTAACGATACACTAAGCAGAACAGAGATGTCTTCAAAACACTGGAAGATCCTGACAACTTAGGTTCACACAACATACTAACGCACACTCAGAGTTGAGTGCAGGTTGCATTTGAGCCATGGGATTGTTCGTTTTGTGTTGTCTGGACCCAACTGAGATAACAAACGATGAACAACTAACTGTTCACAATCCATAAACAAATCTGAGGTCCCGTATGGTTGGTTGGTGGCCTACAGGTCAAGGCATGCGATGAGTGGAGCTGGCAGGAGCTGAACGGCAGACACTTGAGCTTTGCTTCTTCCTCTAGCGACATCCACATGATTCAGCCACCATATTTGGGTAGACTTTAACTATCATACCTTGATCTTGGCTAAATGTGGCCATGTAGCTTTGGGAATATTTTTCTGGCACACAGCAAGGAACGCGCTGGAGGGGCATGCCCTGTTCGTGCATGTGGAGCAGGAAGATGGTGTGGGAAAAATAATTGGGGATGCGAGTGGACAGTGGGAACTGGCAGGAACCTACACAATTGTTGGCATTGTAAGACTCTGGCAGGATGACGTACCCGGTGGAGGCCAAGTTTACGCGCTGCTCCTGCAGCTGGCAATATTCTCCACGGCTCTGAGCACTACGGCTAACGCGGGAGGGTGCCCTGGACTCGCGCCAATGAGCCAGCACCGCCTGGAGGCCTTTGAGCAGGAGAAGGCTGTGGATCTTTCCCTGGGTTGTGGACCCCTCAGCCCCCCCATAAATGCTGCTGGAGAAGCCCCCCGGGACCGCAGAGGGGTAATAACAGAAACCCAGGAGAGCGTGGAAGAGGTCTGCGTTGGAACGGAAGGACGGCATGGCGCTCAGCTCCTGGATCACAGAGTGCAGCTTCCCCAGGAGCTGCTGCAGCTGCTTCTCGTCCAGGTTCCAGATCCCCAGCTGATCTCCCACCAGGGCCTGGTTGTTCTCCGGAAAAAGGACAAGCAAATGGTCCTCGGACTGCACCAGCTGCTCAAAGGCCACCTTCTCCGAGAGGTTGAGCAGCATGTGAGGAAGAGCCTCCATCGTGGCAACATCGAGCTGCAGGTGCACCCTGGGGGTGGGACCCGGCTGGCTGGCGGGCTTTAGCACCTGGTTGACGAACTGTGAAAGCATCTCGACAAACTGCGTGGTGCTTCTGGGCACCGGCTCGGAGACGTTTGCCTGGCTGGGGGAAGTGGTCCCCAAGGATGGGACATCGGTCATGTCAGAAGTCGGCAAACTGCTGCAGGGACAGAAGAGAAATCGCTTAAAGAGGGACACAACCTGCCTGCTTGGACACCTTCTCCCCACCGTTTCCCACTTCTGCCATGTTGTTACAAGACTTCCCTGTGCTCCTTTCTCTCTGTGAATCTATGAAAGCTACTGGTGCTGCTTTTCAGCAAAAAGCATGAAAGAAACAGTGTTGATCCATAGTTGGCCAGCGCCTTTATTGGAACCAACCCAAATTCCAGACAAATATGCCAACGTCTCAGCCTTCCAGAACTCTTCAACAGGCTGGGCAGTACACAAAAAAGCAGAAAGTAAGTAAATGAACCAAAATAAAGTCCAGACTTTTCGCCTGCCAGTTTGGCTTTGGAATCTGCAATATGGGTAAACCCATTTGGATAGAAATGGAGATACACTGCCTGAATGAATGATGCCGGGGGTAGCTTTTAGAAACCATAAGTGAAAACTCCATGCTGCATTTTGAGCATTCGGTCTTCAGGGGTCAAATGTCACAAAAGATTTCTCACACAAACCTATTAGAAATATGTGGGCACACTTGATCCATGTTACTTGGAACACTTTTGCCAAAAGAATGAGTAAATCACCAGCAGTTAATCATTTGCCCACAGGAGTATATCTGCAATTAAGGCTCAATCTCATACACAGAAACAATATGTAACAATGAACTCCCATAAATCAGTCCCCTCCCCATGGGGTGCCCTTCAGATGCAGCAGACAAAATCTCCTGGAATTCCTCAGCTGGCCCCCAGGGGCAACTACACGCACCCAAAGCAGCCACAGAACACTGTTTCAGGCTGTAAGTTCAAGAAAGGGTGCACGTTACCCCAAGCATGGATAAAAAAAAATCACTGAGGACTCAGTTCCATAAAAAGAAAATAGCCCGGCCGGCAGCTCTCTGCGGCATAAATCACAGCAGTCCAATCCTGGTAGGATCATGGCAGAATCATGTTCACTTCTATAAGCTATGGAGAACTTCCAGGTTCAGGAGCAGTCTACCCTGAAAGCCAGCTGCCACAAAGCAACAGAAGAAAAGAGCTGCTCCCTTTGTGCTCTGCTTGTGCTTTGCCACTGGAAACCAGGGTGCTTAAGCTGGCAGACGTACTCAGCAGGGTTCCTGGGGTCATTACGTGGGTGCTTGAGGAGAGACTATACCTGGAGAAGCCAGTTTCAGCTTCAAACTTTCCTTCCACTGCAGCTTCTGGGAGTGGACCTTTCCCCATTCACAAGAGCAACTGGAATGTTTGCCAGGCTTCCGTGACAAGCCTGGCAAATCACAGGGAGGATGACCAGGGAAAAGCAGCAGCTGGCTCTCCCCAGCAAGCTCAGCACCAGCTCTTGCCCTTAAATAAGTGAAAGGAGGAAACGAGATCAGAAGTCACCAAATCACCCACCTGGGAGGCAGGTATGGGGCCGTGTCCAGCTTGCCGTTAGCAGTAAGGAAAGAAGATGGAGAAACAGTTGGGCCTCCAGGCCTTCGCTTCACCATCAGCAACACTGCTGGGGTCATGCGGGTGAAGCACTTGGCGTCAAAGCCGAACAGGAGGTCTTGGGCTTCCTGCGCAGAGAGGACAGGACCTGGGGGACGAGGGTGGCATGAGAAGCGTAAGAAAGATTCCTTAATGGAGATGCAGCAAATAGTGACCTTCCCAGCAAGCTCCTAGTCCCTGGGAAGGCTGATTATTTATAGGTATTTATGCACCTAAATAAGGAGGCATTGAAGGCCCTTAACAAAGGTACAGTTTAGTGTCATGGTTAAAGAGGTAATTGAATAAAGATACAATATATTCATATTTTTGTAGACTTCCAGGTATTCAGAGTACTTTATTTGTAGTATCTAGCTGTAATCCTTACAAGTGCCCTGTGAAGTCAGTCAGTATTATTATCCCCAGTATTGCTCAGAGACAGGTGAGGTTCAGAGAGAGCAGCATGCCTGAATTCCCCAAGCGAGCTCGCAGCACAGGTAGGATGCAAAAGTCTCTAGAGGTGATGTCTTAATGGCACATCAACAACCACAGAGATAAAAGCCATAAAAATTCAGTTTGCCGACCTAGAATAGGCAAACTATTGGAGGAGTTGGAAGCATGTCCTGTTAGACTCAAGGAGTTAAGAATCTTTAGGCTCTGCACACTTCAGGATTCCATTTTCCAGGGCAGCCTCTGGGCAAATGCCATCTGAGCTTCCCTAAACTATTGCTCATTAACACAAGGTAACCTTTTTGGAAGGCTGCGCTTGCTCGAGCAGGGTAATGCCTCTTTGAAAAACAACTTCTTGGGAAGTTTTGGAAAAACTTTGCAGCTACCCAGAAAGCAACCCTCTTTAGAAGGCTGCAAACTTTCTTCTTTTTTAAACATAGGCAAGAATTGTGTTTTGATCAGATCTTAATAAAAATGTTTAAGGAAGGGGGTGATAGAAGATCATGGCTTAAAGCTCACCTGCCTCTCTCCCCACCCCGCGCCACAAATACCTGTGGAGCTTTGACGCCGGATTTCTAAGGAAAGTTCAAAGCTTAGTTGCCCTGGAGTATGTCTTCCGAACAGCAAGGCACCCCAAAGGACAATGTACTGGGTGCTCCTAGAGAGGCAGACAACCTGTGGTGGGAAAATGATGAGGAAAACACATCAGCTTCCACAGAGCTCATTAAAATCTCTCCTCCATGCATCAATCCAGAAGTACATCACCAGTTGAATTTGTGCAGGGCAGGCTGCTGTTAAACAGGAGCACAGCTGAGTAAGGACGGTGCACCTAATCAAGATGGAGGAGATAGGGCATTGACTAATGAAGCCTCCTCATAGAGGACATGCGGGGGGGGGGGGGTCAGGAGGACCCAAATGGCCACCTAAGTCTAATCTCCTGCTTCCTAGAGTGATCAAACTGAGAAACCAAAGGCGGAGCCCCGCAAGGTAGGGCTGCCACCTTCCAGCCCTGTTTTCAGCCTTCCCGAAGGCTTCAGTCTGCCTCCCAGGCAGTATCAGAATATTCCCAAACAGATATTCCCTCAGTGCAGAGGTTTCATTACAAAACAGGCCTGCAGGAGAAATATGCAGCCCACATCACATTCTGGTCTGGTACACTGCACCTGGATGTGGAAACTCCATTGATTTACCAGCACTCATGAAATCTCAGAGGCTAGGCTAAGGAGTGGGGAGACCCAATTCCAGCTCAGCCATGAAGCTCCCCAGACGCCCTTGGACCAGTCTCCTTCTCTCTCAGTCTGTCCTCCCTTACAGGGTTGTTGAGAGGATGTTTGTACAGAAGCATTAGTGGAGAAACATCCACACTTGGCTGAGCTCCAGAGAGAAAGGGAACAGAAATCATAAAGTAACCCCTCCAGTCTGCCCCATCCTTTACACACCTGCTGTCGATAGAGACCCTCTCCGCTCATTAGGAGCATCTGCCTGGGGCTGGAGACGGCAGACTCCTTTCTTCCCTGGTAAAACACGAGCATGGCGAACTGTGGCAGGCCGAGGGATGACTCAACATCCTCTTGGACAGTCAGCTTGAACCTCAGCTTAGTCTCTGCCTCCCATTTCACTGCCGGAGGAAGGGAAATGTTGGCAGCGGTCAAAACGTGTCTTTGGTTCTGCAGGGACCGCAAAGTCTTTGTTTAGGATAGATGCTCCTGTCCCTCTGACCCAACACAGGGGGAACGGGAATCAAGGCATTCGTTCCCCTTATGGCTCATAAGGGGAGTGTGTCCTCCTTTCCCAGATGGCATCCCAGTCTTGGCTACCTTTGCCCTTTGGGAATGCTCTTAATAACACAAGCGCAGGAGGTTGCACTAGCCTCCCTCCCTTCACACCTTCAAGAGGAAGGTGTAAGACACAATTGCTTAGCACCTCCTGCTTCCAAAGCCAGCCAACAGCAAACTGGGACTGCGAGTAAAGGTCCAGAGCAACCACAAAACATTATTTATTCACCAGTTTCTTCCAAAATGCAAACAGAACAACTTCTCCTAACCAGAGGTTGACTCCAGAGAGGAAACCACCAATCTTGCTAATGAGATTCATCAGACATCATTCAGCCAACGAGATGCCAGGCATAAAATCAGGGCATTTTGGAACTCCAAGGGGTCTCTAAAGGTCATCTAGTCCACCCCACTGCACAGTGCAGAATCTGCAACAGAGTGGATCCCTGGCAGAGGATCACCCATCACACTAAATCCCTCCAGGCACTTGCCTAGCACTTCCCAAGGCAATTCACCCCACACTCTGTGAGAGTTACTAACGCTAGGACATTTCTCCTAATAGTGAGCCAAAACTGTGATCACCAGCTACTGGTTCTAGTCCCACCCATGGAATAAGAGAGACAAATCTGCACCATTTTTTGCTCAGAACATAAAAAGCACTACTGAATCCAAACCAAGGCCCATCCATTCTAGCATTCCACACACCTGGGTGCAAAGTCTCCTTCCCAGCAAGTCTGAGTCGGGAAATCTCAGGTTAGTAGAACAGGAGAATATATGCTTGGATATATGCATGAAGATGGCACAGTCGAACTTCAGCAGTTCATTGCAAGTTCACTCAGCAACCCCTCTGACAGAGACAAATACAACAGCCCTGCTGGGTAGCCAGTGTGTCACCTGACTGCAAGTTCCCTGAGCATGCACAAAATGCTTTGCAAGGTTGTGGCTCACATACACAGTGGCGGGGTGATGTTGAGGAAAGAATGGGTGCATCGCGAGGAACAATACAGGCACAAGCAACAACATAAAGTTAACAGCAGAAAGGATGCCCCACAAGTTTACAGAGCTGTGGGGTTGACTGGCAATTAATGACAAGGCAAACAGTAGAGAGAGATGCTTAATCACAGATCCCAGGTGTGGGTTTTGACCTCCGGGGAGAGAAGACTGACTCAGGGCAGGAGAATCTATTCAGCACTGCTCCAGGCAGCTGGTGAGCAGACCAGACACAGCTTGCCTGATTTTGGGAGAAAATGCAGGAATCAGGGTGCCACAGGGCTGCCTGTTTTACCCAGATGTGTGGAACGGGGCAAAAAAGTCCTAGTCCCTTTGAATGGAGAGGAGCGAGGGTGCTGCTGCCAGGTTTTCTCTTAGAGGCCATGCAAAAGCATATCTTTTTATTTGAGGATTTATTTGGGCTTTCTAGCATCAGCACCTGGGGAATGCAGCCATGCCATCTCTATGAAGATTCTAGCCCACGGCCAGCAAGGCTAGTAGCCACGGATCACCTTCTTCCTCAGGAATCTCCCCAATCCCCTTTTAAAGCCATCCAGATTGGTGGCTGTCACCTCTTCCTGAGACAGGGAATTCCAGTTTAACTGTATGTTGTGTGAAGAAGGACTTCCTTTTATCCGTCCTAAACCTCCGCACAGTCAGCTTCCCGGGGTGACTCCAGGTCTGAGTGCAATGCAAGGGGGAGGAACAATTTCCTCCACTCTGTGCATAATTTTAAACACCTCCATGCTGTTGCCCCTTGCTTGCCTCTTTCCTAAACTGAATATTCCCAGTTGTTGCAGCCACTCCAGCTCCCTGATCGTCTTTGTTGCCCTTCCCCGCACATTCTCTGCCCAGTGGACAATGGAAACCTCTGTACCAAGTCACTCTTGTTAACAAAATTAAGCTTTGCAAAGAATCTGCCTGGTTCAGTTTGTCCTTATAAAGATCTAGTGTTCTCTGATAAAGTGATATTCCACAGTTACAAACTCAAGTTTACATTATTTTCCAGAGAAGTTTGGGACTATCTCACAAATGAACATCTAGTCCCAAAAGGAGGTGTATCATTTAATAGTCAGTGTTTGGTTTTGCTGTTGCATTTGGTCCTTTGTGCACATTTGTTCTGTACTGTTCTTTTTTCGTTTCCTGCATTATTGTGATCTTGTAATATGGTGCATTTTGGTCATCCCGGGGGTATAGAACAGAACTCCACATTTAACTAACTCAGCATTCATTCATATTGTATTTTATCATGCATTTGAATTATACCAGTTTTATGCGACCCACTTTGCAGGGCATAATGAGAGCCAATTAATCTATTCCTTTTCATTTAACAACGTCGCCTTTTCAGGACGAGGTTTTATTTAAGACTTGTTCTCTTTCTGTGTCAACCCCCATTCGTAGGCCACTAAGAAAATACAAAAGCAAGATGGTTTGAGAAAGCAGCCTGCAACAGAAAATTGCAGCGTGAAGGGGCTGTTGTTCGGAGTTCCAAGTGGGCACGCCCCCTTCAAGAATAATAATTTGGCCTCTCATGAAAAAGTGCCCTGACCCCAACTTGCTCAAACTTCACCAGGTTGTTTTGGAGTCCACCCTCCCCTGGTTCTTAAAATGTTGCACTTCTAGCATTCTTGGAGCAGCCTCATTCAACTTCCTCCTTGTTCAGATTATGACAATTCTGCCTATAAACTGATGGACACTTAGGAACGAGTTTGCTATGAAATTATAGAGAATGAATGGGGGGAAATGAAAGGGAAGGGAATTGCGTGTAGGAGAAGGAAGGAATATAGAGAAGACAGGTAGAAAAAAGAACCAGCAGCTTTGATGAAGGGAGTTGACTCATGCAAAGAAAACGACAAGAAAAGCTGATATAATTATATGGCCTGGATGATCCAATTTAGTTCTGCATCACCGCGAAGGTGCTTCCAGAAATGTTTCGTTTGATGAACCATGAAAAAAATCGCTTGGCCCGCCTCCTCCGGCTGCACACCTACCTTCCTCCAGATGAAGCAGGAGAAAGTGGTTGTCCCCTGGACTGGCCAGATAATGGCCAACGTGCTGGAGAAAAGAGAGGTGACCATGGGGGAAGTCAGTGGGACAAAGTCCGAACAGCTCCATTTCCTCCTTGCTCCAGGCAGCTCTGCTCAGTGCCTTCAGGAACTGCTCATCATAGCTGTTGAGGAGGCCCACAACTTCCAGGTGGTTGGGGCCCCAGGTACTGCTCCCATCCAGTTTCACCCTACACACAGGTTCCTCCGGCCCTCCGTGGAGCCAGGGCTGGAAGTTGGATCTGGGCCGTACGCTCAGGTGTTGCTGGGGCTGGGGATGTTCTGGGTTGTCTTCTGGGGGGACCATGGCAAGCATCTCTCTCAACTCTGGCATGCTTGGGACGTCTTCTTTTTCTGGGGTCTTGGATCTTTCATGGGGTAAGGCGGCAGAGTCATTCAGGGGTTCTCCATCCACAAGGCTCTTCTCTGTAGGCACAGAGGTGGACTCAGAGATCAGCGAAAGGGCCAGCACAAAACCCACAAGCACAAGCTGCATGATCTTCTTTCTGAGAGGGTCACGGCAGCGCTCCAGAAATGCTCCCCGAAAGCCCAGCAAAGGGTATTCTGCAAAGGACAGCAACCAAGAACATATATCCACCAGCAGCCAAAGGGGAGGCCTACAAGTCCCTCTTTCAGGCTTTGCGTCCTTGAATTGACAAGACACATCACACCTCCCTGAAGGAATTCCTGGGAAGGGGAGGGTTTTGTGAAGCTCAAAGAACCCTTTCTGTTCTATTTTCAGGTTTTAATATCTCAAATGTGGGATACTTTAGAAAATGCAGCCTTGACTTTAATATTCCCCAAACACTCAAAGCTAACAGGACCAATATTCTGTAGCATATTATATTTGACACATGGGCAAAGATGGCTGGATGAATCTATCCATTTCTGTCCATCTCTCAGTTTCCCAAACTTAAATGCAGTTCATTCTGATCATCTTCATTTTTTTTTTTTTATTTCACTGGGACACATTTTTGAATGTATTTTTGCTCAAGGCACAAATTTTGCATGTTTTGTTTTTTAAATTGGAGAACTCTTGTGAAATTTGGAGAAGTGTGTATGTTGAAGAATTAACTGAGTTTTGGTTTACACAGTGGTTTACACATTTCAGCAAATTCATCTTAAAATACAAACTTAATTTCTCCCATCTGTATGACATACTTGCACGAAGGTGTATGGGAGTCAGTCAGTTACAAATGTGGGACTGGAACTAAGATCTGAGTTCTAGACCCTACATGGAGCCTATGGGGGGCTTTTGGAAGCTGTCCTAGGTTCTTCCACATAATTTTCTAACAAAAGCAAAGGGGGCAAGTTCTCAAGATAGGCTGTTTCTCGAGTTGCTGATCTCTGCTTCTCAGTATCCCTGATCCTTGTCCCCCATGGACTAGGGCAGATGGGCACTGGAGTCTAATAAGAACTCAAGGACCACAAGTTCCTTCACCCCATCCTATCACAGAAACTAGGTTCAATAGGTTCAAAAATGCACTGAAGCATTAAGAGGAGGGAGAAGAGGGCTTTGTATGACTCAAATGTGTGAAGTGTTTCACTCTGCTTTGTCCTTTGCTAGCACTGCAGTTTGTTTTGCTTTACCCTGAGTGGCTGGAATGTACCCTGAACACATTGTGATTTTGTGGAAGAATAGCCAGCCTGTTTTGTCCTGCTGTGGGCAAGATTTGGGGTCAGTAGCCAAACGTTATGTCCAGTCCAACTTTTTGTGGAATCCATCCCATTGCTGGTCTTCTTTGATTTTTCTGAGATCATCTTCCAAAGGAGACTAGCCTTATCCAAACTGTGCCCAAAGGAGGAAAATTTCAGTACAACCGTTTTGGCTCCCAGGGAAATTTTGGCTGATACTTACCCTGAGCTGCATTTGCCCTTTTGATGCCCGTTCTCCTTTAGCAGTTCCCCAAGTGCTGTTTTAACCAACCTGAATAATTTCATTTCCTCAGCAAGCATGGCAATTTCACTGCTCACTCCTGATTCCAGATCATCTATGAGCTGAGAGACATTGACCTGGGACCCCACGAACTACATCCTTCCATTGAATTCACCCTTTATTCCCACTCTCTGCTTTCTGCCCAGTCAGTTGCTGACACTCAAGAGAACCCCTCTCTTGCTCCGTGTCTAAGTTTGCTCAGCAGTCTTTGCTGAAGGAATTTGTCAAAAGCCCTTTGGAAGCCCAGGTAAACAACATCCAGTGCCAGACTTGCTCAACAGAATAGCCACATAAAGGTAAATGTCTGAGAGCCACAAGACATGAACAAATATTATATATTTATTATGAACAAACAGACATCGCTAATCTTAACAGGCTGGTTACTGCTAGATGTCTCCATCTTGGCTGAGAGACATTGGACATTTCTGACAAAATTGCTTGACTGCTTAACATGGATTTTATTTGGGGTATTTCTAACCTGTCCAATCACTTCACATCTCTGGACAGCTTACAACAATAATTCAATAAACCCAACAGTATAAATATCAAATATCCCAAACAATAATTATACTATTGTTTGGGATATTTGACATTTAAACTGTTGTATTTATTCTAACACAATGCCACACACACTTACCTAGAGAATGCTCTGCCAAACATAGGACTTACTGCTGAGTAAACTTCTGTTGGGAGTACCACTTTGCTTTCAAGCCAAAATGACTAACACCTTTCAGGGTGGGGCTTGTTTCCTGTTTAGCTCTGAATATTGCAGGAAAGGGAGTGACCCCCAGTGCTGCTTCGGAAGCCCAGGTGCAGGACAGTGGCTTGCAGCACAAGTGGCTCATCACCCGCTGACATGCCGGAAGTGCCAGAGGCCCCAATTCTCTGCCGGCTGGGCAGTTCCCTCAGCTCTGGCAGGGCCTGCCAGGGAGGCAGGGCATTTTCGCTCACTGGCCTTGGCCTCGATTCCACGCCGCGTCCGATCGGGTGTGCCCTGTCCCATTCTCACTCCACGCCAGAGGCGGATGGGGACTTTTCCGGCCCCTCTGCAAGCTGCAAAATGACTCAGGCCTATGTGCCTCGCTAGCCTGTTTGGCCTCCCTGGGCCAGGTGGATCAGTCCAGCCCATGTGCTCAGACCCTCTCAGAGAACTCGGCAAGGTGAGAGAAAACTTACCTTTGCAGATTCCCTTCCTGCAAGATCTGTTCTGCTATGTACTAATTACATCTTTAGTTAACACTTCCAAGCAATTTAGCCAGAACAGACATCAAGCTAATTGGCCCGCAATTTTCTGGACCCTCCCAGGCAGCTTTCAGAAGACTGCTGCCGCACTGGCTGTCCCCAGACCTCTGGAACATGCTGACCTTTGGTATACTTTTTGTAAGGATGTCAGCAAATTACTTATTTGCACTCTCAGAACTCCAGAAGGATCCCATTTGGGCTGGATGATTCATTAGCTCTCAAAGCATCAAGAGGTTGAGAACTTTTGTCCCCACTTATCTGCCCGAGATCTTCGCACTCTGCTCCTGAAAATGCCATTTTGAGCACAGGCACCTGAGTGGCATCCAATGCGGTGAAGACAAAGGATCCAGCTTCTGCGCACTGCCCGTGTGCTCCTTTAGCATCTCCATGAGCATCCAACTGCCTCTCTCTGGCTGGGTTCTTTCTACGGATATATTTACGGAAGTCTTTAACCCTAACCCCACACCCACATTTTCCAGACACCAAGAGGGAGACACGCAAGAGGGACAACAGAGAAGACAAGTCCTTTTTAATGAAGGGACAAGATTCCAAAGTAGCCGCTGCTGTATTTAAAAAAGACACATACACAAAACCAGGGCGGAAAGTACACAAAAGGGCACTCTGAAAGACGAGTCTTCGGAATGAGACGCTTTTCAGTTGCTGGGGGGCGGCGGCGGGATGTTGCCAGGTCCTTCTGAGGGCAGAGGGGGTCTCAGCATTGGGGGCAGCGGGGCAGGAGGGGGGACGCCGGGCGCCGGGGGCAGCTGAGGTGGGCCAGGAGGCAACGGCACAGGCCCTGCGGGGGGAGGCATAGGGGGCATCGTCATACCGCCAGGCGGCGGTGGTGGGAGGGAGTCGGGGAGCGGTGGCCGGGGTGGGAGGCCGTTCATGAGCGGCGGCGGCGGGGGCCTCTTCACGGTCGCTGGTCCAGCAGGAATGCTTTGTGGCGCAGGTGGCTTCTCCATCTTGAAATGGAACTGAAGGAAGAACTAGGAGGGAAGAGAGGCAAGGGGGTCGCTCACAAGAGTTTTCAGAGCAAATCCTTCCTTTTGAGCACTGGGTGGAGGCTGTGGAGCTGCGCTTCCCTCCCATAATGCCCCTGGGGTTCATAGCCGGCTTCTCTGGATGCAGTGATCCAAGAGCTAGAAGGACCCCGGGAAGCCACTGCCAGCAAGGAGCAAGACCAGCGGCTTGACTTGAAAATCTGATGCAGGCCTTGATTTCACAGCCTCCCCAGCCAGGTGGCCTCCAGAGGCATTTGGACAGCAGCTCCCAGGATTCCCATCCAGCAGGGCCACTGATGGAGAATTCTGGGTGCTGCAGTCCAAATGTGTCTGGAAGGCACAAGGCTGGGGGAGGTTGCCCTATACAATTATTTATAAAAGGCAGAACTCCAGCCTGGGATCCAACACTACAGGGCCTCCAGCAGCCCCACTCTCTTGTTCAAGCATTTGCCCTTTGGGGAAAACGGTCCAAGCAGCCCCCCAAAGTCGCTTCCTGAATCCAGCTGGTTGGGGAACACTGGGAACAGAAGTCCTTTGCTAATCTAAACATGCACAGGACTGTACCTCTGGGAACACATAACCACGACTATTTAAACAATGTGTATTTGACAATGACTGAATGTTTTATGCATGTTGCTACTTCACGCAGGGGCACGAAATCTCAGGCATGACTCCCTGCAGCCCATGAGCATCTCTGGCTTTTTAGTGCTTTCCCCCCATTATAAACATCGGAATCTCTCCTTCATTGAAGGAGTCTCTCCTTCATTACTTGCAGTAGTAACTTTCAGACAAAATATGCTGGCTTTTGCACCCCACCCTCCACTGAAATGGTGCTCCTGAGTTTCTCAAAAGCACATCAGCCAGAGGGGGTTCAGCACCCTGATATAAGGGGTGGGGGGTTTCAAACTAGGCATTTACCCCTGCAAATGGGAAACTCAGATCTACTGCAAAATGCAACGCCCGGAATTTCTACAAGGGCAAACTTTATTGGTTGCATTAGCAGAAGGCTAATTTCTGACTGCAGGTGGAGCTGCTTGCTAGCCACGTCAAAGCCCAAGTTGCTTGGGACGCGGCCACCCAAAGGCCCACCGCTTCCTCTGCCCATCTCTTACCATTTCCTGGGAGGAGTAGCTGGCGTGCCCTGGAAATGAACTAGGAGCCCCAGTGGGGTAGCTTATCTGTGACACCCTTCCTACTCCAACATGTATTTACTGACTGTTGTTGTTGTTGGTGGTGGTGGGGGGGGGGGTTGGGGGTGCACTGTTGCATTTAATTTGTCAAGTATGATTTATTGATTTGTCATCGCTTCCAGATGCTAAGAGTCATTTTAAAGGGGGGGGGATGGGGTCACAATCCCTTAAATCAATCGACATATGATTAGAGGTAACCTATCTATGGATTCTGCCTCAGAGGACGTTAGATGGAGCCTCTGTTGAAAAGCAGCCTACGGCCACGTGCTTTTCCGCCTGGGATGCACCCAGAGGATGCGTCGCAGGACAGCAGCCCCGCAAAAGACATTTCATGATTCACGTGCTTTTCCGTGCTCGAGACACTGGTGACTGCAGGCTCAAGATGTGCATGGATTGCAAAGCGGCAAGCGCTTGTTGCCACGTACCTGCTTCGTTTCTCGGTTCCAGTGAGTCCAGAACTTGCCTTCAGCCTTGTCGATCTCCCTGCTTGGCACCTGGAGAAAGAGGAAGGGAGCCAAGTTGCTGAACTGTAGCATAATATTCTAAGAATAATGCTCTGAAGCTTGGAGAAGGAGCGGGGGGAGGTTTTCTCAGATAACCTCTGCAGCCTCTTTTTTATTGGCAATGCTAAAAGCAAAGAGCTGCAGAAACTCTTGGCTCTTCACGTCGGTCCCAAAATGAGAAAATCAAGCCAGGTGGAGTGGGTGTGAAACGGCACGACCAAGATATGCCTCTTGAGGGGAAAAAACCTTCATCTAGTTTAGGACATCAAAGTTCTCCAGTCTACTTTGATGGCAAGTATGTCACACACTACCAGTATCTGCCATGGCTGTTCTCCAGTGAATAGTAACCAACTACTCTCCAAGACCTGCTCTGATACATTAAGAACTGTTGTCACCTTGCACCTGACATGGCATGTGATATGACAGCTGACTCACAGTAGTATTTTGGGAAACTCTGCACTAAGCTAATCAATTCAGAAATCCAAGCACTCGAGTGAAATTTCCCTGTGAAGTAGCAACACAAAAGCTCCTCCAGTTTGGGGGCCAGAGGCTTGTCTCTAAATACAAACTGCCAAACAAGAAAAGTCCACCGGGCAAGCTGTTTTGTCTCCCAGGACATTATTTCTGTTGTAATCCTGGGTAATCTGGAAGTTCAGCCTCAAGGTGTGTGACTAGCTTGCCTTCTGGCTGAATCAATTCTTACTCCCCAATTTTGCCCAAACCCTGGAACCTGGCACCCTGCAGAGATGCTGGAGTCCAACTCCCATCACCCCAGCCTAGCCTAGACAAAGGGCACCAGTCCAGGGAAAGTTTGCACGGAGAAGAATGAAAGATTGACAGGCAAGGTGTGTTTCTTCTAGCCACCCTTCCCAGAGCAGCCTGGAAGGTCAGGGCAGAGAGCAAGCATCACCTTGAATGCGATCGTCTCGTAGGGCTCAGCGGCCATGAGGAGGTACTGCCAGCGGCGGTCAGGTGGCTCGATCCGCTGCTCATAAGCGGACATGAAGCGATGCCTGGGCATGATGCTTTCGGCGATCTCTGGATAATCGATCTGCAGGGGGACAGGAATGGCCAAGGGGAAACGGGAGAGCTGAGGAAGCCGATAGCCTGCAGGCTCCCCAGGAAAGGAAGAGGGGGGGCTGTTTCACTTAGGTGTGCCCCAGGTGGGACAGCTTCAGAAGCTGCACAGACAAGGCCCACGCCAAAGGTCTGCCAGCCCTGATCCCCAGCAGATATTTAGCAGATATTGCACTAAATATGCAAATTAAAAACAGAATAAAGCGGTCTTTTTCAACATTTCTTTCTCTGACATATGGAGGATCCCTTTGGTGGCACAGGAGTCTGCAAGTGTTTGGGGGGGCCTACACAATCGCCTCTGTTCCCTTGGGGAAAGGCTAGGGGCTCACCTGTACACGTCCCGCCCTCCAAGGCTAAATCGGAGCAGGCAGCTTTCCTGACAGGGAGGCCAGAAGCAGGACATTCCCCCAACACAGCCCACTTGCCCCAATCCTGCCCCCGCCCATAGTGCCAGCTGAGGGCCATTTTCCAGTCGCCTGAATGGTTTTGCTTAAAGCAATCGTATACTTTGGGCCCATTTACTGTCTGTCTCCTAATTTTGCTTCCTACACCATTAAAAAAAAAGAGCTGACTTAAATTTTGCATGAGCTGCCTAAAAAAAATAATTAAGATTTAAATAAATCCTCAAACTTTTCCAATGAGGGGAAGTTGAAAGGTGCCCGTGGTGGGCATGGGCTGCCAAGGTGGTGCCGGCGGGGTGGGCCGGGGTGCATGCGGCAAATCGGGGGTGGGGGATGCACAAGGCGAGGCAAGGCGGGGGGGTGAGTCAGTCACTTCCTCGAGCAGAGATTGTTTTCTCCAAGCGAGCAAGCTGCTTGGAGAAACAATCTTCCCTCAAGCAAGCTGCTGCCGGGCGCACAGCCGGCGAAGCGCCAGCTTGCTCGGGAGGAGATCGTTTCTCTGAGTGAATCCAAACTGATCTCCTCGTGAGCAAGCTGCGTGCCCGCATGTCCGGCAAGTGCAATACCTCTGGGGTGGGCTGGTTAGATGGGCATGGTGGGCCAGATCCAGCCTGCGAGCCGCAGTTTGAGGACCCATGCTCTTAATCAGGGGTCTCAAACTCGCGGCCCGTGGGCCAATTGCGGCCCGTGGGACGCTATTTTGTGGCCCCCACTTGATATCAAAGTTTAGTGACAGTGCGGCCCGCGTGTTTTTCTCACACGCACGTGCGTGAGTCGTTACCCGGGGCGCAATGTTCCCTCTAAGCTGCGGCCGGGCCGGGCCGGGCACGGGCAGGGGCCCTGCGGCCTTCAAAGCGCCGGGGGCGCCCGGGCCGGCCCCCGGGAGCCACGTGGGATGAGCGGCCCACCGCCACCGCTGGGGTGGAATCCTTGATGTGGCCCAGCCTCACCCAGACTCTACTTCCAGCGGCCCCCAGGTCAGTTGAGTTTGAGACCCCTGCTCTAAATCATATGGGGATTATGGGACCAACTTCACTGCACTGTTAAGCCATCGCTGGGCAAAGGCAAGTCTGTTGAGTCCTACCTGGAAAAGGAGGCTTTGCTGGCCCATCTCTGGATCTCTCTGTTTGGTCACTGAAATGGCCAAAAGGAAAAGCAAAAAATGTGTTTAGCCCAACACTGCAAAGAGGGAACAGCCCCATTCTATGTCCGAAGTAACATATTCAGCTTCCCAACAACCGGAACAGTTAACTTAATTTCTGTACTGTGCAATAGCCAAAGCTCTCCCTTAGAGACCAAGTTTCTAGTTCTTAGGGATGCATTCCCAGAAAGCCCTTCCATAGCCAAGTGAGAGGGGAATTCCTAAACTTTCACAGTCTAGTAAGCTGCAGGAAAACCTGCAAAATAAATTTTTATAACCTAACTAGGCTGCAGGATCAAGATCCTCAAGCCACAGAAGTGAAGCAGGCTGGCACGGGGCGATTACCAGGCCGGCCACAACCGGGACCAATGCTGTTCTTTGACCTGGACTGGACTTTTAGGCCTCACTGGGCAAACAAGAGCACCGGCAAGGCTTCGGACACCCCTGCCCACGGCACCAACAGAGGTCCACCTGATGCCCAACTACCTTTGTAACCTGGCCGCCCAATTTTCACGAACTTCTTCACTTCAACTTTGACCTTCTCGGGGGCTGGCTGGGCTGGGGCTTCCTTTGCTTCCTTGGCAGCTCGGCGGGCTCTGAAAGCAGGAGCAAGAGAACAGGGGCTGAGCAACGCCAGAGAAAGGGCACAAGATGTCTGCCTAGAAGGCAACCTGAACTGCCAGCTTGGGGCTCCCTGGCCACTTCAGTGCATGGAGAGGGACCCTCCTGCTGAGGGCAACGCCCCCTTGAGAAGCCCTCCAGTTCCCGGCCTCTTCTCCTTCAGGCTTCCCATCCACACAGTCCCTGCTTCTGCGCGACGCTGCAGGGCAGAAACGCAAGAACAGCTGCATCAGATCAGATGGGAAGCTTCCCTCACACCTGCTTCCAGCCAGGGCCAAGCAGAGCCCCTTGGAAGCCCAACGGCCAGGGTCTACAGCCCTGTCCTTTCCCACCAACCGCTCACTGATCCTTTCAGCTACTGCTGCCATGCACTGAATCAGGGCCCTTGAGCACTCAGCCCAAAAGCAACCCTGGGACCCACACAAGGGAGGGTCCACATTGTGCCACTGGTCTTCGGTCAGAGGGACCAGGCCGTCCACTGGTCCTTCCAGCCAGGTAACAGACTCCCCCTGGAATGAAATCTGATGGAACTCCCCCGGGAGATGTAATCCAGTGTGTATGATGCCATCCATATGACCCAGACTACAATCCCAATGATGCCCCGCTAGCGTGGGCAGTGGGAAAGCTTGGTCAGCGTGACCCAGAGAGGCCCTTCCAGGGTTTCTCTTCCCTCTGTTGGCTGGAAATAGAATCCACAACAGCTCAGGTGCGGCCCTGGAGTCCAGCTGGTCTCCAACAAAGCAGCGCTGCCAGACGAGAGCTCGCACGCACACACGAGCTGCCGAAGACAAGCCAGACTCCCCTCCTGCTGCAGTCAGGATGCTATGCAAAGCACATTTGCTATCACGTGGAGGAGGGGGCCATCAAAGCGATCGCTTCCCAAACGGCAGCAAGGCCACGCCTTGACAGAGAGGCGCAGCCCCTCCCTGGGAACACCTGGACCTGTTTCTGGCTTTCCAAGACATCCTCTGCTTCTGCCAATAGCCAGATACTGGTCGACGCTGCAATTACGGATAGGAAAGAGGCGGAGGGCAAAAGGAATGCAGGGCGACCCAGTGCAATCCTCTTCTCCCCAAAACTAATTTCTTATTTCATTTAATGGCTTTCCCAACCCGCTACCCCAAAGTTTTAGAACGCAATCCCCATCACCCCAACAATCAATAATTTGGAGAGTTTTGGTCCACAGCATCTGAAGACAGCAGGTGGAGAAAAATCAACTTAGGATGCAAACTTACACATGTTTAGACAGGAAAAAAGGGAATTATCAGACCTTTTTCTGTTAAAACATGCAGAGGTCTGTGCTTTTAGAGAACTTTTAACTGGCACTTCAAACGAGATTTTAAGACCAGATCAACACAAATCACCATAACAAGACTGTTCGGTCCCCACAACAACCAGGTTTTGATGAGAGGATACAAAGGGCACAGGGCCTTTTGAGGGTGGCCCCATTTAGCCAGCCGTGCCCCCCTCCATGGTATGCCATTCCATTACCCTCCTACTCAGATTTCCACCCCAGGAATCAGTCAACATCCCATGAGTATGCTCAGTACATTTGATAGACACATGCTGTGAAGGAGGGGTGACTTCTTCCAGATTTCTTAAGTAGCTCTCAGATAATTGGGATTTGGAGGGGAAAATACAAGAGAGAGGAGGTGAAGAGTGATGACAGTCAGAAAAACATGTTTATGATTTGCAACTTACAAATTGGTCTGGTGCTTTTTCCCCTGGGTGTGGGCCAAATAGCTTCCCTGTGGGGTGAGAAAAGGGGAGGGGTGAATTAAATTACTAGCAGGGCTCGGGCCCGAGGGACACCTTGCCCAGCCCAGCTGAGAGATGCCAGGAATAGGAGCCTGGGACCAGCTGCCTCCAAAACAGAAGCTCCCCCAGGAAGCTAGTGCCTCTCCCCAGAGAAGACATACACAAGTGCAGCATCTCACCTCATTGTTGTGCAATGTCAGGCAAAGCTTGCATTCGTAAGAGCCCAGGTGGTTTTTCATAAAATACGGATCCTGGCAGGGGAATAAAACTGAAAGTTAAGTAAGGCTCAGGCTTGCAGAGTTCAATCTTGCAGAGGTACAGAGGGAATACAGCTAGCCAGGTGACGGCAGGGCCCACAGATCCCCCAGGAGTTGATGCACCCATTAAGATCTATGGGAGGGGCCCCACTTAGGATGTTCTTGGGGCAGGTGGTGCCAGCTAACTGCCAGGTAACACAAACCCCATGATTCAACTACCAAAGCACAGCACGGGCCATCTTCTTTCTAAAACTGTTTGTATGTGTGTGCATTGAACTAAAGAACAGAGCCACACGTCAATATATTTTTATAAGTGAGAGATCAGCTGACTGCTGATTGCTCAAAACTTTCACCTTTCTCAGCAACCAAGTTATGATCTCAAGTATCTGCCGTGCTGTTTGGTGGTTTCCGAGATCCATCCATGCACACACAGAGGTCGCAGCCTGGTTCAAAGGCAAGGCTGCTGAATTCTGGGTTGTCACAATATGCAAACATGGCCCTGTTAACATGATTCCTCAACCACAAACAACCCAGAAAGAGCAGTGACCATTCGACTTGTGAGCTCTGAGATGTTTAAGCCACGGATAACTGGCACGTTCAAAGCCAAAATGAAGGGTTGTTCCTACGTTTCCCCAAGCCACACGGGCAAGAGTGATTTAAAAAAACCCTGATGGCAGCATTGTGCCAGGATCAGAGGCAGAGGGTAGGGTCTTCCCCATCAAACACTTGCTGAGCTCCTTTTACCCAAAGGCTGAGCTTGGGACCTTTGCCATGCACTGCCACCAAACTATGGCTCCCGTCCTATGAATATATCTAGGAACACACCAGTCTTTTCCTCCAGTTATTGGCAACACTTCCTGCTTTATGCAACATGCAAGAAAACTAGCAACCCACCTTGTTGATGTCGATAGTTTCCAAGGCCAGCTGCCGCAGCCTCTCTCTGCGGTCTCGGTTGCTCTCCGAGGCAGAGGCAACGCCCCCACTCCCCGTTTTACCCCCTGGTCGGTGCTGAAAATCCATGGCTGATGTTTTGGTGCTTCAAAATGACCTAGGAAGAAAGACTGGGGTTAGCGAGGGAGGAACTGAGCAAGTTCATTTTTAATTAACAGCCACCCAAATAAGAAGCCAGGCAGCACTCCTCAAACTAGAGCAGCCGGGTCATTTTTACACTCAGTAACATCATGGCAGGGATTAAGTCACAGACCTTACAAAATGAAGGTATAGTGCTCACCTCTTCACTTCACAAAGATCTGCTCTGGAAATCTGTTCAAACTGAGAAAGCTAAGAAGTTGCAGGTTAGTTTAAGCCAGGGGTCGGCAACCCGCGGCTCCAGAGCCGCATGTGGCTCTTGAACCCCTCTGCTGCGGCTCCGTCGCTCAGAACACGTGCTGGCACAGCCACCGTGATCTGTGACGAGGCTGGTTAACTGCAACGTTCCTCTGCTAGTGTGCAGGGAGAGTGGAACAAGCTTCCTGCAGGTTCTCATGTTACACAAAACGCTGCTGAAAAGGTTCTCTTTGTCCCAATGTAACCTCCTTCCTCTGAATGTTAAAAGCTGTGCTTGGGACCTGTCACAATTCACAGCACTTGACTGTTTATCTGCTAATCAGTCACTAAACACACCTATATCTGCGACCCAGCACTGATTTACTGAGCTCCCCGCCCCCCACAACCATGGATAAATCCGAAGAAAAGTTTCTGAAGAAAACCGAACGTTTAATGGTACGTGGGTAGATCCATTTGCTTTTACTGCTGACAAACTTATGGGGTTTGCTGTTTAATGCATGCAGCCCTTTAGCACTGACTTTGACTCTTCAGGAAGCTGTTGTCCTATTCAAAATATATGAAAGGAATTCTACTAGTTTATAATGTAAGATTAAAAATAACAGTTTTTAGTGACTGAACAAGAGTTGCAGCTAAATCATAATGAAGATATAGATCTACTTCCTTGTTTTAAGAAGATTCTTATAAAAATTCCAGCAACATTATTACATTGGGAGAGGGATGTTTGTTCAATATTTCACCACGTGATAAAAGGATGAGGGCACACAGAAGCAGACGGCATTTTTGGTTTGCTGCTGGTGGATAATATAGGTATTCATAAATACGAGGAAGACTCAGACATTGACTATTTGATTTGAAAGTAACCTTCAACCCAGTGTATTTTTTTTTAGTTCAAAATGTTTTTGTTGCATGCAGAAATAAAAAATTGTTTTCTCTGTAGCAGTTCATTGATTTCATAAATACAACACACTACAGTTTTTTTATACATAGCATAAAGGTAAAAAACCATATATGCACTGCTATCTTCATTTTAGATGTCAAAAGGGTTTTGCAGCTCCCAGGGTTTTTTCTGTGGGAAATGGGTCCAAATGGCTCTTTCAGTGTTAAAGGTTGCCGACCTCTGGTTTATCCCATCCAGTAAGTTAAATTCAGGTTTGGAGTTTTCAGTATTTAAAATGCTACAAGCAGATGGCAATAGGGTATATGTGAATGTTTGAGATTCTGGAAAATTTCATACTGTGTATTTGTTGTGTTTGAAACATTGAGAGTTTTGCAAATACCCTGAACCAACAGAAAGGTGAAAAGTGGATCATAGACCAATCAAGCCAGAACTTGCCCCGGAAGCAAAAATGATGGCTATCACAATTCAAGCACATCATCAAGAGACTGAGACTTGCCAAGAGCAACAAAAAGGGCTTCTTTCAGCATGTAGATAGGAAGAGGAAGGGGAGACAAGTGGTGGGACCACTAAATAAGGAGGAAGGAGATCCAGTGACTGATGCGAGGAAACAGGCACAGATGCTAAATGACTGTTTTGCCTCTGTGTTCTCCCCAAAGCAGGACGGGGGAGATCCGCATAGGAGATTAGATGAGGCCGGGGACTCAGGGGCACAGATTAGAGTCACCCCCCTTGAAGTCGAGGGGCTCCTCAAGGGCACCAGGCCCTGACGGGTTACACCCGAGAGTACTTAGAGAGTTGGCAGGGGTTCTCTCACGCCCGCTGGCCTCAAAAATGA